TTTGAAATTTATTTTTTCGAATGCTTAGGACTGAGTTGTTCCTCAGAGACTCTAGTATGTTATCAAACTGATATGTAAATGACATTCCTGATTATCTTTCAGATATAACAAATATGTGAAAAAGAGAAAAGAACTGGTAAAGTGGGACTATTTTTACTACAGGCATATTGCAGTTGTTAAATAATGCCATAGAAAAGTCAGGAAAAAATGGTAGAGTTATATCACAGAAACTCCACCATTTGGAGAGAGAAAATGGAGTATCTTTCGTGAGTGAAGGTGTTTTATTTTTGATCAGTCATTATGGTTTTGAAGAAAGGGGTTGAGTTCCACAGAAAGGGAAATGTCGGCGCAAGATTCATATGATGCCGATATCCACATCATACCTCTTTGCAACATTCATGTTTCAACCTGCGCTCTTGCTCGGCACTATCTGGCAATAGGCAGAATCCCATGGAAAAATATGCATCCGTTTGAGTAAAGCCTCTACAAGGTGAGCAGGTTTAGCTACCTAACCACCACTTACGTTTTAAAACTAGCCTCAGGAACACTGTCCCTAGGGAAACCCATTCTTTTTTTTTTTTTTTTAAGATTTTATTTATTTATTTGACAGAGAGAGACACAGTGAGAGAGGGAACGCAAGTAGGGGGAGTGGGAGAGGGAGAAGCAGGCTCCCCGCTGAGCAAGGAGCCCGATGTGGGACTCGATCCCAGACCCTGGGATCATGACCTGAGCCGAAGGCAGACGCTTAATGACTGAGCCACCCAGGCGCCCAGGAAACCCATTCTTAACTCAAGTCTCTGGGTTGGGTGTCCCTCCTGTGTGTTCCCACAGAGTAGCCTGCTCATCCCTATGGAGAACTTTACACATTAGATTATGATTCTTAAGCTGTGTGCATGGTCTGCTAAAATGTAACCTTATTTAAGGGCCATATATATTCTCAGTGCCTTTTATAATGACAGATGCAGAGGAAGGCTCAACAAATGTTTGCTGAAAAAAACAATTAAGCATTAGGGTAGAAAAAGGATAACCACAATAATAAACCTACATGGGAGGAAATATGAGCCCTGCATTGAGCTTCATTCAAAAGGTGAATTAAAATGCTAGGAGGCTGGCACTTTGAAAATGGGGCCCTGATGAAGGCACACACTCACAGGTTGTGATACTTATAAAGAGTAACTGGAGAAGGGAGAGGTTTTGATTTAGCAGTCCTTTTGAAGATATGCCTATGTGGATTTTGACAAGATAAATAATAATTTTATAGCAGGTTTTTATTTTCTTTCTGGACTCTTAAATACTTTCTGGATTATTAAAATAATTCATACTTATAAATTAAGAATGTACATAATTCTATCTCCAGTTGGAGATGGAAGAACAAGGTGGTCAAAGTACTGTAAATAGAAAGCCATATATAGCACTGGGAACACTTACGGTAGTTATACTATGAATTTGCCCATCAAACACCAATTTCTCCTTTTGTTGGTAATAGCATGCTGATTTTCCTCTGAGACCTCTCCTCTCCCAACTCTATTTTTGTGACTTAGCAGGGACAACAGCCTAATAAAAATCTATGAATTTGACTTGGGCAACTAGCATATTCCATTTTCTCAGTCACAAAGATTGGTTGAGAGATGGACATGTGATCCAATTTGAATCAATCAGAGCTTATCCTGGGACTTTTCCTGGTATAACTAGGAGAAAGGAGTACTCTTTCCATTGCACTTGGGTCAATGGAGATGTAAGTCTTGAGTTGCCAGGTGTTGCCAAGACAGCATGACCTCCTTAAAATGCAACCCATGTATAAGAAATCTGAACCTGATGCTCTGATGATGTTGTATGATTGCCCAGAATCAGTTTATCTTGTAGCTAGAATTGCTTCTTAATGCATCAATGATTTGAACCAATAAATTCCACATTAGGGAGCAATTCCTATTTTCAAGAAAGGCTTAATTTTTTATTTCAGAAATAAACAATGAGGAGAATGTTTTAGAAATTAAGAGATTTAGATACCAGTCAAAATGATCTATCTCTAAGTTTAATCTCCACTCAAAAAATATTATGTCATATCCAAATATTGGTTTAAAATCCTTGCTTTGTAGTTTATGTAGTGAGTTTTTGTTTGCTTATTTATTTTTTATGTTCAGCTAGTTCTCACTTTTTAGGAAATTAGCTACTGAGTGTTTAACAAAGGAATGAATATCTTCAGCAAAGCTTGTTTTTAGCTTTTTGTTTTTCTTCTTTTTTTTCTTTGACATTACTTCTCTTAGGGCAGATATGGTTAGCAATGATGGCAATGATGACTATAACCTTATCGTTTCCTTTTAGGTTGGCTAATGGGCAAGGCTATCTCTGTTCTTTGGTAAAATCATTGAGGGGCACGCTCAGTGTTCGAACAGAGATTTTTCTCGCCAGGAACTTTCCAAGCATGTTTGAGTTATTGGAATAATGTGAAATGCATCTTTCTGAGGGAGATGCCCTTAAGCACTGGTGACGCTTACCTGAGAACAAAATCTTTCAGTCACAAGTATTTATTCCTACTTTCCCTAAAAGAAAGGACCAAATGTCACGCACAGGATGTGGCCACAAGTTGTGTGGAGCACACTACTTGAGTTGAGCTCCTGTCACTTGCAATCTATTAATTGCAACAGAGAGTCTCCAGATAATAGTCACTGAAGAATAAACTGCTAAAGTTTTGTTGTTTGAGGTATAGTTGACAAAAAAATGTTACGTTCATTTCAGAGAAGTGTTTTAATGAAGGGAGGCATTTGGTCAGATTAATACTTTAGAAAGATCAAGCGGACTTCACAGTGAGGAAGGAGGTTTTAAGAACTAAGAACTTTTACCCTCATGTAGGCAAGAGATGCTGGTGGCCTTCATTACATAGGTGCAATAGCCTTGGGGAGAGGTAGGAGACTTGAGAAATATCCTAGCAATAGACCTGGGTTTCGCACTGATTGTTTGATAGAGGGTATGACAGAGAGGAAAATGTCATTAATAAGACCTAGGATTCTGGCTTCAAAATTGGATGGAAGTTGTTGCTATTTCCTGAGATAGAGAGTATAGGAGGAGGGAAGAGATATTGGAGATGGTGGGTGGGGGAGTGAAGAAAGCAGAAGAAATGAACAATTCAATTTTGGGCATGTTGAATATAAAATTTGAAAAATATCCAGAAGGTCTTATATAGGTCTGGACCTCAGGAAAGAGTTAGGGCCAGAGACACAGACTTAGAAGCCATCACTATTCGGGTACAGGTCAGAGGTCATAATGGACAGCCCTTTAATTGATTTATTTTTGGTTAGCATTTCCTTTTCTGAGAATAAGTCGCAAACTTTTAGTAAAAAGATCAGGCAATTTCACATGAAAATATTAATTTGGCCATCACTTTTAGAAATGAGAATTAGTTGCAAACATGTAAAGGTGATTTCACAAGAAAAACATCATTTTTGATTTTTTTGAAAATTTTGAAAAACCAGGACCATTGGACTTATATTTTTTCCTGACAACAATTGGCTAGGGGCGCCTGGGTGGCTCAGTCGTTGGGCGCCTGCCTTCCACTCGGGTCATGGTCCCGGGGCCCTGGGGTCAAGCCCCGCATTGGGGTCCCTGCTTCTCTCTCTCCCATTCCTCCGCTTGTGTTCCCTCTCTTGCTGTGTCTCTCTCTGTCAAATAAATAAATAAAATCTAACAAACAAACAAACAATTGGCTAGAGATGGGACAGCCTCCTCTGCATAGGGCCCTTTCTCCAAGAAACCCTGTTTTTTAACCCTGGCCCTTTTGGTGCTTCATATTACCTTATACATTGCAGTTAAGGTAGAAATTGCAGTTGAATACCCAAAATAAATGTGAGCAAGAACACAATATTTAAAAAGAAAGAGAAAAAGGAAGCTGCAAATTTGACCTAGAAGGGGCAAGTAGAAAAAAAGAATGAAAGCTGAGGGAAGCCAAGTAAAGAGAGTATTTCAACATAAAGAGCATGGCCATGAGTATAAAGGTAACATAAAGAATAAAAATGTCCACCAGATATAATAAAGAGGGATAGATTAATAGGTAGCTTAGGTAAAAACAGTGAAATGACGGTATTAGAAATTAAAAAATTAAAAAAGTAATCTTTATTTATCCAAAAGAAAACAATACTTCATTGACTTTTAATCTTTTTAATTTTTTTAAATAAAACCACTGAAGCATATTAAAAATATAAAATTTGGTACCTGTTTTAGACTTTGTTTTCTGTGCTGCTTCTCCTTTATCCTTAATTTTTCGCATTATATTATTGGCAAATTTCTCATGTCAACAATTTTCTTTGAAAACATACTTTTTAGTGGCAGCGTAGTATATAATCATGTGAATAACTTATGTAAATAACCTCCATTCTTGTACTTTAGGTTTCTTTCCTTTTTTTTGCCATTAAAAGTAATAAATGCTTCAATGAATGGTATAAATAAATCTTTGTGTGTAAAATCTTTATCTGATTATATTTAAATGCAAAATTACTAGATCAAATTGATTTTAAAATAGATCACATCAGTTTGTAGTACATGTGAATATACTGCATCCTCAGCAATATATGGGTTTTATGAATTAAATATATGGTTGTTCTCTCAGCTATTGAGTGCAACTGACCTTTGAACACACAGGTTTGAATTGCACTAGTCCACTTGTACACTTTTTTTTTTTTTTCCTGCAAAAATCTGCATTGTTTCCATTTGGTCCCTGGCTACGGAGGTCCCTGGCTAGGGAGAGGGCTCCAGGGTCATTAAAAAGCTGCTCAGTGGCTGAAGGGAGAGGCTCAGGCAGAAGCCCTAACACCAGGGGAATGCCAGAGGCGCCCCTCAAGGCCCGCTGGGCTCTGGCGGCTCCTAATTCCTGCTCGACCGTGAGCCTTCGGAGAGAGACGGGCCCAGGCCAGCCTTAGGGGAGACTGGGGTGGCCGCCATCTTCCTGACGCTTTTCACCTCTCATCCGGAAGTGGCTCTTCCGGAAGTCCGACGTGGGGTCTGGCTGCCTCGGCAGAACCCAGGGCGTGCAGATCCCAAGCGCCCGGGACGGGTTCTTGTCCAGGACCGTGGCGGCTGCCGGGCGTCCTGGGTTTTACCCGCTCGTCTTGGGGCGGCTTCTGCACGCCCGGGAAGAGGGCGCGGTTTCCCAGCTGGTTTTGCATTTCGGGAGAGCTGAGAGGCCTCCCGTTTCTCCTCAGTCAACTCCGGAGGAAGCGGCCGGCGACCTCCAGAGCCACATGATCACGCTGCAAACAGAGGCCCAGAGAGAGGTAGGCGTAGGAGCCCCGCAGGTGCATGTTGTCGCTGGAATAATTCCCATGAATCTGGGGCGCATGGTCGATGGCAATGAGGAGCTAAGCGCACAAAAACAAAACAAAACCAAAAACCAAAAAACCAGTGTTGGCTGGTCCTAGAGGCGGGGGATGGCTGCGAGGATGGCTTTGAAGGTTGGGCCTGGAAGAGGGTGGAGGGTGGTCCGAGGCTGGAAGAAGGGGTGGCCTCGGGTTTGTTCCCCGATCCCCCCACACTATTGTAGCAAGAGATGGACCCCCGGGAACCCCCATCACAGGGCTACACCCGGAACAGCATTGGAGAATCTTTAGCCATTATCTCTTGAAATACTGCCTCTCCCTCTATGCCCTCTCTCCTCTCATGTTAGGATGCAGTGTACACATAAGACCTTTTCACTGTGGCTAAAATGTCTCTTCTATTCTTAATGTTGAATTCTTTTTATCTCTCTGTTAATAGAGAATATTTTCTTCTTTCCTGTGTCCAGTTAACAACCTTCTCTTACTATATGTCCAGTTTGCATTTAAATCCAACTATTGAATTCTTAATTTCAGTTATTGTTATTTTTCAATTCCAGAATTTCATTTGATACTTTTAATAGATGGCCATTCTCTACTGAAATTCTCCTTCTTGTCTTCTAGTTTCCAACATGTTAATCAAAATTATTTTAAGTTGCATGCCTCATAACTCCATATCTGAGCTTTTTAAATTATTAAATTCTAGACTTGTGTTTAAAATATTATAGAAGTTCTGGTTGCTTTTCCCCAGTGGCAGGGTTGACTTTTGCTTTTGCCCCACAGCTCAAATGGGCTGGATCACCTTAATCCAGTCAGGGGTTGAGCTAACTTTGATCTGGGCTTCAGTATTTATAAGGCCTGTTTATTGTCAACCCTTTCTTTTGGGGAGTAGCCTTCAGGGGCCCCAGCCGAAAACACAGGGTATTTACGGGAACGCCTTCCTTCCCCTTACCAGGGCGTGTTTTCCCACCAATGAGACCACCAGAAAGTGCTGCTTGGTTTTGTCAGCTTTTTACCGATCACTTTCTAACTGGTGTCATACAATCAACCCTGTACTGGTTTTGAATGGGCAAAACCCTGAAGGGGAAAAATGTTGCTGAACAACTCATTTCTCTATTTCCCTGGGTGCCTTGCTAGGCCCAAATTCCAATTTTTATCTCCCTAGCTATGTGAAACTGCTAAAAATTCAACTTGGCTTTGGTCCCCCTTAACCACCACATATGCTCTGCTTCTCAGCTCCTCTTTTGATGCCAAGTATTAATCCACAAATGCCTTAAGGGGAAAAGAGGTGTGGAAGGTTGTGTTCCCCTCATCGTGTTTCCCTGCTTTTCTGGTCTTGGCCTCTCAAGTCCCAACTGCTCTGATAGCTTTCCTATTCCTTAAAACAGGAGTGTCAAAAAACCATTCACTTTTCTAGTTGCCGTTGGTTGGAGAGTTGGTCAGATACAAGCTCATAGCCAGGAGCAGAAGTCCTTGAATATTTTTTATTTGCGTATCGATTAATAAGTGCTCTTTATGCATTCAGGACATCAATTCTTAATTTGAAGTATGTGTTTTTTTATTTTCTATTTTGTTAAATCTTCTTTTTGATTTATAGACATATTTCCTGTGTCTGTCATCAAATCTGTTAGTCTTTTCCTTCCATTAATGCTTTAAAAAATTCTTCCTTATTTTCTCTAGACATTTTTCTATTTTTTCCTTTGTTTTATTTTTATTTAAATTTAATTTTTAAATTTATCTAAATTTAATTTTGGTGCATAGAATTTTAGGGAACTAACTTATTTAAAAAATTATTTAACTATTTGTTGAATAAAACATTTTTCTCTACTGCTTTGGAATTTCACCTTTTTCATATAGGAAATCATTGTTTATACTCTGGTTTGTTTCTGAGCTCTCATTAATCTGATTATTATTGCACTTGTAATTTACTGTTTCAGTTGTTCAACTTTAGTCATCCATTTTACTACCTGGTGATTCACATACCTTCTCAATACTTTTCATTTGTCAGTTTTGTCTTGGCTGTTCATGTCAAGAATTCCTTGCCTACAAAATTTAAATTAGGTAATTTGAGGGGTGCCTGGTGTCTCAGTTGGTTAAGC